CGGATCCTGCGCAGGCGCAGGGGGCGCGGGCCATTGCCCCGCCCTCGACCTGCGCTCGCCCCACCCCTTTCCGCAGGCGCAGTGAGAGCTGCCCAAGGCCCCGCCCTCGCCCCGCCCCTTTCCGCAGGCGCAGTGGGCGCTGTCCGAGGCCCCGCCCATTCCCGCGGGTGCCGGGCGCGGGATCGCGCGGCGCGGGCGGCCAGGCCCCGCAGGGTCCCGCAGCAGCCCTTTGTCTGAGCCGTGCCGCCTCCTCCTCGGCACCGGGACGTCGGGACGAGAGGTTCCGGCCCTACCCGACGGGGCCGAGCCCCTTTCGAAGGCTCCTGCGTCCCTGGGGGACCTCGCGGGCCCAGCCCCAGCGCCCCAGGCGGCGACCCTCCCCCCTCCCCGGGGTTTCCCCTCCCAGTTGGCAGCGCTGACAGCCTGCGGTCGGCGCCTCCCACAGCGGGGCTAGGGGTCGGGGGACCGCCCTGGGAGCAGCCCCGGGGATGCCCTGCTTCCCCCTAAAGCCGCGCTGGGAGCCTTGGAACGCCCGCTCCCACAGCCGGGCGGGGAACCGGGACCCGCCCAGAGCAGCCTCCAGCATCTGTCCCGCCCCCTGCAGCACTGGCAGCGGGGAGACACCCCTAGGGCATCCCGCTCCCCCCGCCCCCCTCCCCCTGCAGCGCTGAGAGCCCGGAGCGTCCCAGGTGGTCGCCAGCCAGGGTCCAGGGCGGGGTGAGGTACGGACCCGGCCTAGACCGGGACCCTGGAAGGGCCGGCTTCCTCCTGGCAACGTCGGCAGCCGAGGGCCGGCCTCCAGCCAGTGGTTGTAACGGTGAAACCTGGGTACGCGGTGCTTACTGAGGACCCGACAGGGCTCCTGGCTTCGGTGCCCCCGACCAGGGGCCAGAAAGCCCAGCCTTGAGGGAAGCAGGGAAACACCGTTTCCTCTGCGTGAGGAGCCCGGGGAGTGAAGGCAGGGCCCCCAGCCTCCAGGGGCTTTAAGGTGCCACCAACCTCCCCTTCCTTGAGCCAGAAGGAAGCCCCAGGCTGTAAAGTGATGTCAGCTCAGGGCCCAGCCACCCAGCAGTGACAGGTGCATCCAGAGCCCCGCCCTCCCGCCCTGCAGAGCCGAGATAGCGCTGGCTGCCCAGGGCACGGGGCGGCGAGCAGCCCTGGGGGAGGGAGACAGGAGGGCTGGGACCTGCGGGCAGTGAGGGCCAGGAGGGCATATCTGGGCAGTACAGGCAGAACCCTGAGACAGGCGTGCCTGGTGTGCCAGAGCGGAGAGGCCACTGAGTCAGGAACCGGGGTGGAGAGGCCAGGGAGGGACTGGGGGCGGGGGGAGTGGAACTCTGCGTTTTCTGTAAACCCAAGTGCTCTAAAAATGTAACTTAGAGCCCGCGGGTGTCTCCGCTGTTGAGCATCAACCCATCAATAGGTTGCTCGTTCCATTCCCCATCCGGGCACATGCCCTGGTTGTGGTTGCGGGCTTGATCCCAGTAGGGGGCGTGCAGGAGGCAGCAAGTGATGTTTCTCTCTTCCTCTCCCTTCCTCTCTGAAAAATCAATAAAAACATACGTATTTAAAAATAACTTATTAAAAGAACAAAGCCAACCTGGGACCCAGCTCCACAGCTTCAGCTTCGAGACCAGCCCCTTCTGCTCAGAGAGGAGCCCGCAGGCTGGAGGAGCCCGGCCAGCTGAGCCAGCTCTATCCCCCATCGCCCCGCTTCCCCAGGGGCTGTCCTGTCCTCTCCTCGGCTGGCCTGGCCCTGCTGTTCTCTGGCCACTCTTCCCTGTGCTCCTCCCTCCAAGACCAAGGGCTGAGGTCCCCGTGGGTCCGTGCTTCACTGCCGACCCTCTAATGCTCGTAACCCATAGACACGGTGGGATGCGGTGTTTGCCCTGGCTGGGCACAGCGGGGTGCTCACCAGCACTGCAGGGTGAGCCCGCGATGCAGCAGAACTGAGCGCAGACCCGGCATGGGGAGGCCTGGCCAGCAAGAGCTCTATCCTCAAAGTTACCATGGAGCCGATGATCCCATAGCTACCCAACCGCTGGGAGAAGCTGGGGGCATCTGCAGTGAAAAATGTTCCCCTGAACGCACGCAGGAGGGTCGACCACTCCGAACCCAGACCTGGCCGACCACCAGACCCATGGCACCCCGACACTCGGCCCCAGACATTCCCAGGCCAGGAGGTGGGAGGGCTCAGCCGCCCAACCTTTCCTTCATTACTGCTCCCCCAGGGAGAAAAATGCTAATCTGACTGAAACCTAATTAATTAATTAATTAGAATTTACTTTCTCCGTTGGGAGCGAACACAAGGGGAGACCTCAAACCACTGTAATTCTTCACATTTCCTTTGCTTCCCCTCCCTGAGGGAGATGGGATTCCCCCGCTGGGGAGAGTATCACCCCCTTGGAGAGAGCAGGGCTGAGGGCACCTGGGCAGACGCAGGCCCAGGAAGCAGGGCTGGCAGTGCCCCCGGGTTGCACAGTCCCCTCGTGACCTCGAGGCCGCCACAGGCCCCAGGTTGTGCAAAGCCAGCCCCAGGCTCCACGCGACCCTGAATCCTTCCTGGGGGCCTGCGTTAAGGCTGCCCCTGCACAGTCTCCCAGCACACCTGGAGGAGAGGGTGCATTGCAAGGCTGCAAACTTCATTTTATACCGTTTTATGAGTGCAAATTACACACCTCTTGGGGATATATGAATGCATTATTTTTCCTGTTTCTGGGTGCATTATGGGAAGGGCCACCAGAGCCACCAGAGGCTGGCCACCCTCCTGCTCCCTTAACGGAAGGGGAACTGCCTGCACCTAGGGCCACAGGAGGGAGGACGGGGAGTCCCCGGGCAAATGTTCTCTCCCTGTGGGGCTAGGAGTCCAGACCAAGTGTCGGGAGGTCCCCCTGAGGCTGAGGGAGACAGCTCCAGGCCCCGCCCTGCCTCTGCGGAGTCCCCGCCTGGGTGTGCCCTGGTTTGTGGAGCCTCGCTCCACTCTCTGTCTCCACCTGCACACGACCTTCTCCCTGTGTGTTCACGGCGCTGCCTCCTTCCCCGCAGGTGGGGCCAGGCCCACCTGATGACCTTGCTGTAACATGCCTCTAACAGTGGTCACATTCCAAGATCCTGAGCTTTGGACTTGAGCATCTCAGCACAGATGACATGGGATACGTAGGGTCACCCCCAGGGCTCGGGCCCCGATCCACCTGCTCATACCCATCATCGTGGTACTCCCTCACGTGTCCCCTAACCATACATCAGGCTTCCAGGAGCCCAGAGCACCGCCAGGGCCTGTCCCGCTCGCTGTACCCACGCACCCAGGACGTGGTGTGTGCTGGAGCTGGGCACTACAGGGCCTCACTGAAGAGGCCGAGCCGCCTCCTCCCCACGGTGGAGGGGGGCTGTTTGCTCCTCCATCCTCCTGGGTCAGCCTGTCCACCATCACTCGGACCGCCTGGGGTTGTGAGCCAGGACTGCCCTGTGGTTCCCCCCGAGCTCCTGAGCAAGCACAGGTTTGCTCCTGCCTGGCCTGTCCTCACTGCATTCTCCATCCTGCACCACCGCATGGCCGGCAACTGGGCCACGAAGGGGTGGACACTGCTTCCTGCCAGAGCCCATGCCGGCCCCGGGCTCTGCCCTTCACGGAGGGATGGGGAGAGCGGGGGACGCCTCGGAGTGGGTGTCAGCATAAGTGCCAAGACCCCGTCACCCCAAACCCAACCCTGGGGTCTCCAGCCCTGTGGTCAGGGCTGCCCTTTCTGGAACACTTGACTCTGGCCAGATGACCCCAAGTAGCTCATGCCCAGCTGCCCCTGGGACACAAGTGACTCAGGCAGAACTGCTTGCTACCTCCCCTTCGTTAGGTCCTTCTGAATTTTGGAGGCAAAATGCTCTTGAAAAGGCTAAATTCTGTAGATGTGCCCGGGGGGCTGGGGGCCGTACCTGTTGACTAGGGCAGACACTCCACACTTCTTTGGGGCCCATTTGACCTAAAACAGCCCCTCAGTACCCGTGGGGAACCCATGCAGGGAGGGCCACTCTGGGGGGCATTCCAGCAGCCGCCAGGCCCCAAACCCCATGTCATCCGCTGTCTCTGGAGAGGACGGCAGATGGCACCGTGGAAGCCGCAGGGAGTGGATCCAGGTCCGAGCGCCAGCTGGCAGCTCCGGAGTCCCTGGTCCGGGCACAGGAAGAAGCTGGGCGACCTGGTCTTGTCTTCGTGCAGGGCTGCAGGGCGTCTGTGCTTCATGGCCGAAGGGGGCGGCCCCGAGCCAGAGACCTCTGCTGTGCCCTGGTGTGAAAGGCACAGGATTGTTCCAACCAGAGCCACCACCCGGCTGCTCTGCCGGCGCCCAGTCCTGAGAAGCGGAGGTCTGGGCGCCCACGGGCCTGTCTTGCTGGGGACTGGCCGCCCCCAGGCAGCACTGCTGCTCCGGCCCCACCAGGCCTGCTTCTCCACAGTCTGAGAAGCACCGAGCCAGCCCCTGGGCCGTGCTGGGCTCTGCCCTACGTGAAGGTCAGGACTGTAGCCCCCCCACCCCCCCCGCTACCCCCGCCCCCCCTGCAGGCAAGGCAGTGCCCCAGGAGGAAACACAGACACAGCAGAAAACCGCCTGCCTGTGCAGCTCTCTCCGCCACAGCTTCAGGGGCCTGTCTGCACATCCTCGCTCAGTGGAGGGGGGTGAGCGCCCAGACCGGGCTCCCTGAGTGCAGGTGGGCAGGTGCGGCTGCTTCCAAAGAGAAGTTTAAAAACACACCTGACAACCAACTCTTTCAGCAATAAGTAATGAGCAGATTCAAAAAAGGGGGGACTTGCTTTCTCATTCTAAATTATGGACAGTTTCTTTAAAAAGCGGCCAGCCCGGCCAAGGTCAGTTGGTTGGAGCATCGTCCAGATGCTCCCAAGCTGAACTTCAATCCCTGGTCAGGGCACTGGAGGAGTCAGCCAATGAATGCATAAGGAAGTGAACAACAAACCGATGTTTCTCTCGCACGCTCTCTCTCACTACCTCTCTCTGAAATCAATAAATTAAATTAGAAAAAAAGGAAGTGGCCAGAGGCAGCCGGGCGATGCTTCAACCCTGCCATCGCAGCCTGGGTTGGGCACCCGGCTCCAGGGACCTCAAGGACAATGAGAACACGAGGTTAGCCCTAACCGGTTTGGCTCAGTGGAGAACACGAGGTTCTGCCAACCCCACGTTGAAGTGGCGGCACCGAGCGCCCAGGTGAGTGCAAACGGGCCGCTTGCTGGTATGAATGACGACCAGGCTGCAGAGAAGGCAGGAGGGGAGTTTATTCGTGGAAGGAAGTCGCCCTGAACCCTCTGCCTGACCGAGTGCCTGTGCTAACACTGGGCTGGAACATGCGACCTCGAAAGGGTAGCCCCACGGGCCGTTCAGGTAGCCTTCAAGTAGCCTTTCAGGAACCCAAAGGGGCGCACCTCCCCCATAGCCCCAGGTCTGTAAACACTGTGGGGGTTGGGCTGCACCTGGCACACCAGGAACAGAGCATCTAGCAGTGAGGTCAAAGCAGGACAATCAGGGCTGGGTGCAGGGGTTGGGGGTGGGGGGTGGGGGGGTTGGGGGCAGGGCAGAAGCCCCTCCAGCCCTGGCCCCACCCCTCTCAGCCCACGGAGCCAGGGTCTTCACACTGTCCACACTGGCTGAGAGTTAAAAGGGCCCCTCCCCGGGGCCGCTGGGGCAGTGGAGATGCAGGCGCCGCCTACGTGCGGTTCATGGTCTGGAAGATCCTGGAGATCTGCAGCATGACCGGCCCCGTCTCTGGGTCGTTCATCCACTGGGTGCTGTTCAGGGGGTTCTCGAGCATATCCTCGAACGCTGTGGGGACAGAGCCAGGCGGAGTGAGCGGCTGCCCCTCCACGCGCACACATGCACGCACACACAATGTGTACACACTCATACGCACATGCACACACACATGTGCACACACACGATGTGTGCACACACTCGCCCACACAACACGTGTGTACAATGTGTACACATGCATACATGTGCACACACGAGCACACCCAACACACACACGTGCATGCGCTGGAGAAAATCTCCACAGCTGCTTAGTACAGACGCGGGCTGGGCACCCACCGAGACCCCCGGCCCCACCACACTGTCTGACCTGCTGTCACACCAGCAGCTCTGAGGTCAGAGGGCAGCGACCCAGCTCTGCAGGGAGCCCGGGCCTGTGTGCTCACCGGACACCAAGTCTGGAAAGCAATTTGGCAACAGCTACCAGGAATCTTAAAAATAGTCAGGCCATGACTCAGTAATTCCAGTTCCAATCAGATGCCGAAAGGACTTACATATAAAGACATTGTTGCAAGTACGATAACATCACGTTGGAAAACTGTAAGTGTTCATCTCAAGAAGGTGACTTTAAAGAAAGAGCACATTAACAAGGCCCCTGAGCAGCTCTGTAACATGACAACTCTGACTTTCTAAAGTTTTGCAAAACTGTTTTCTCCAAAAACACAGGTGCCTCCAGCAAAAGCTCTGGGCCACAGCAGCCCTGGCCCCGGGGAGATGGGTCAGACCCTGTCCCCCAGTGCTCGCGCGCGCTCCCCCCTCAAATCAATAAATGTGTTCTCAGGTTTAAAAAATAAAATAAAATTGTTTTAAAATACAAATAAGCAAAAGTATCAGGCAAGTCTGAACAGGAGCCTGAGGGAAGCCGTGTGCTGGGGCGCAGAGCCGGCTCAGGCCCACGGACCTGGAGCCACAAAGTAAACCCTGGTGCGGTCGCACAGAGGGAAAGAGCAGCGAGACGGAGGTGCTTCCAGGGCTCCAAGCTCAGCACCCAGACTGGGGGAAGGGAGCTTCCTTAACCGACCAAGTATATGGTGAAAATCACCAGCCACCGGCGGCTGGTCGCAGCCTCAGACAGCCCTTCCGAAGAGGCTGGGAGAGCCAGGCCGTGTCCCTGCCAGGGGAGGGGAGCCGGAGGTGCTCCAGGGCAGAAGGACCAGGGCCTACACAGAGCACAGAGATGAGCTCAGCAAGACGCTCACCGAGGGCAGAACTGTGTACAGAGAAGCCCCGCCCCCTCTCGCACACCTTCCCGACCCTGGACCACAGGGCTTCCGTGTCATCAACGAGACACAGCCAACTGCACTGGACCCAGGACCTGCGTCCGTGGGAGTGAGGAAGGCGGGGCCGGTAAGACCAAGAGGAACTCCCGGGGGAACAAGGAGAACAACCCGCCAGAGAGAGAGGCCAAAACCGAGCCGACGGCCTTTCGGGGCCGAGGGCCTGGGAGTGCTGGCCTCCAGGGGGGCTCGGCCTTGAGGGTCAGGGAGACGGCAACGACCACAAGCACCTGGGCCTGCCGGGCAACCAGCACCCTCCCATGTGCTGGGGAGCACAGGGTTCTGAGCGCTGCACCCTCCTCCCTGCACACGCCCTGCACGCACACGCCCAGCCCTAGGTCCCTGCCCAGACCCCGCGTGTGTGCCCCGGAGGGCGGGCATGAGAATGAGCAGGGTAGCCCTGACAGGGGTCGTGGGAGGCCCCCCCACCCCCCCGCCACCCCACCTCACCCCCCGCCCCGGGACAAGAGCAGAACGGAGCCATGGTGCCCTGGCTTCAGGAAGGGCTTGGCTCCAGGAGACTGAGTGCCTACAGCCAGGTGGGCCCAGACGCGTTCCACTCACAGCAGGCACTGCACGCAGGCTGCCTGGACAATGCACACGTGACAACACGCCCAGAAACAGCAGAGCCGAGGACCTGGGCGCTCTGTAGGGAGGGCGCCTAGTGGCTCTGAGGGCCTGGAACGCTCTTGGCTTTTTAAATAGTGTTTTTTTAAGCCGAAGGCAAGGTGCAAGCTTATTAGTTCCCCTGCACCTGGAGGACTACCGTGCTGGGTGTGCCCTCCCCTGCACCTGGAGGACCACTGTGCTGGGTGTGCCCTCCCCTGGACCTGGAGGACCACTGTGCTGGGTGTGCCCTCCCCTGCACCTGGAGGACCACTGTGCTGGGTGTGCCCTCCCCTGCACCTGGAGGACCACTGTGCTGGATGTGCCCTCCCCTGGACCTGGAGGACCACTGTGCTGGGTGTGCCCTCCCCTGGACCTGGAGGACTACCGTGCTGGGTGTGCCCTCCCCTGGACCTGGAGGACCACCGTGCTGGGTGTGCCTCCCTGGACCTGGAGGAACCACTGTGCTGGGTGTGCCCTCCCTGCACCTGGAGGACCACTGTGCTGGGTGTGCCCCTCCCCTGCACCTGGAGGACCACTGTGCTGGGTGTGCCCTCCCCTGGACCTGGAGGACCACTGTGCTGGGTGTGCCCTCCCTGCACCTGGAGGACCACTGTGCTGGGTGTGCCCTCCCCTGCACCTGGAGGACCACTGTGCTGGGTGTGCCCTCCCCTGCACCTGGAGGACCACTGTGCTGGGTGTGCCCTCCCTGCACCTGGAGGACCACTGTGCAGGTTTTCAGAGTGTGGGGGTCAGCGCACAGGAGCTGGTCCACCACGAGCAGAGCCCGATCCCGGCCCCACAGTGACGCAGGCAGCAGCACATGGAGGGCCCACGTGCGCAGGGACCGCTCTGGGCTGGGCTGCGGCGTCTATCACGCAGGAACATCTGGGTATTCTGGGCGGGCCCCATGGGCAGCGCGGGGGAGGCACACGTACCGAGCAGTGTTTTGGGGTTGGTGAGGCCCAGCTGCACAACGGGGTTATCCAGGATGGCTTGGAAGAGGGGGCTGTTGGGGTCGATGCCCTTGTCCAGCTCCTCGGGGGAGGGCTTCCGGTCCCCCAGCAGCCACTCGCACTGCAAGCAAAAGCGCAGCCGTCAGCCCTGGACGGTCACCACCCAACAGGCCCCGCGCTGACAGGGAGAGCCCTTCCCGGGAGAGTAAGCCCCGATGCGGGGCGCTGTAGGAGGGAGGACCCGCCTGGCCTTCTGAGCGCGGCCACCGCCCCGTTGCTGAACGGGTGCAGCGCCTGCCCGAGTGCTGGGAGGAGAGAAAGAAATGCGGACACTGGGGAGGTGGCCTGGGGCGTGAGCATTCCCGTGACCGACTCGTGACCGCTGGCTCTGCCACCCGAAGGGACGAGCCAGCCACCGCTGAGACACCCCAGGCAGTGCTGTCAGCAGCCGGGGTGTTCGCTGAACGGGACCCAGCCCAGAACTTGTCTAACAAAGCGAATGGGTTAGAGCCCAGAATCCCGAGTACTTAAACTTTTCATACAATCAGAATCTACCCACTGTCTCACTTTAAAAGCGAAACAGCGGCCTGCCTGCGAGCCCCCCAGGAGCCTGCCGACCCGGGGCGCCGCCGCGGCCCTTGCCCTGTACTCACAGCGGCGCTCTGCTGGTTGTTGCTCACTCTCAGGGCGTCCATCACCTCCTTCTCGTCGAAGCCCATCTCCATGAGGGAAATGACGGCCTAAGAAGAAGCCACAGGCCCTCAATGCCGTGCACTGGGACCCGGTCCACGGGCTAACTTAGCAGAGGCTTCACCCAGCACCACGGTCCACTTCACAGCTGTCTCCTCACAGGCTTCCTGACACTGAGGGACAAGGCCAGGAAGGCGGAGGGCGCCTGCCCTGGGGACAGACCGCGGGGACGGGACGCCACTCAGCCCAGGGCCAGAAGGGCCAGGCTCGCCTCAGAGCCCTCGGTTGTCGGGGTACAACCGTCTCACCACCCAGGCAGCCCTAACGTCCTCGCTTTCGACTGCCCCCACGTTATGGTCGGACGCGCTGGGCCTGTGGGCACCGGTGCTGCCGTGTGGGGTGGCCTTTGCGGCGCGCTGGCCTGGCCTGGGTGTCAGAGGCTCCAGAGAACTCGGGAAAGAGCCTGTGGAGCCCACCTGCTCTGTGAGCTCACAAGCCAGTGTTTTCTTTACATACGTTTTTCTTGATTTTAGAGAAAGGAAGGGAGAGGAACAGAGAGAGACCCAAACATCAACGATCCCGTCCTGGGGATCGAGCCCACAACCCGGGCATGTCCCCGACCGGGAACCTGAGCCCTGGGTGCACGGGATGATGCGCGACCACGGAGCCACGCCAGCCGCAGCCGTCAGCCAGGATTCCCTCCTCCCAGGCTCCTCACTGGCTCTCTGGCCCCTCCTCGCTCCAGGCCCATCATGAATGACCGGAGAAGTCCTCAGAGTCGCGCACAAGCACCAGGAACCCACTGCTGAATCAGGACAGGGTGGCCTCTTCCACTAACGTCACAGACTGTCCTCCATCTCGGCCGGGAAGAGATGCCCAAACGTCCCGGCGGTGACACAGGGACGCCCCCCATTCTCACGGGAGCACCGGGCAGGGTCCTGGCACCAGGGCTGCCCGTCTGCACAGGGCAC